CAGTAGAAACTGCAGCAGTGGAGACCACAGCGGTGGAAGCGGCGGCGGTGGGAACCGCAACAGTGGGAACTGCATTAGCAGCAGATGAACAAGCAGTGACAGGACGAGCAGCGGAGGCAACTTCCGTAGCAGAAACTGCTGGAGTGAAACCCGGAGTTGAAACAACAGCATACAGGGTTGCATACCTGCTGACTGTCGACCCCGACCGCTGACCGTATTGCAGCCGACCAGAAGGGCCGACCGGTCAGCGGTCTGCCGACCAGTCAGAAAACAACCATCCACTGATTTTTTTTTAATCTGAGTTGGGGTCTGTACTGCTGGAGTGAAACCAGAAGGGCCGGCCGGTCAGCGGTCTGCCGACCGTATTGCTGAGTACAGCACAAATCCGCTGAGAAACTTTTGGGGATGGGGGGGGTTTGGAGGGGGTTGGAGGGGGGTATAATGGGGTCAGAGTTCGCAAGTGGGATTTTTACAGATACCTGTACCTGACCTAACAACACCCTCTTTGAGAACCAACCACCCATACCCACGGTATACCTGGCCTGCCGGACCTCTACCCATCTCCACCTGCTAAAAAAAAAAAAAAGTATAGCCAGACCTAACCTACATGAACCTCTTCAGCATGTAACTGGCCATACCTATCCATGAACAATTTTTTGCTACCTAAAAGCAAACCGTTTGTTAACTACCCATACCCTACCCTACCCAAGTTTTCTTTATCTGTACCCACCCGTACCTACCCATTATTGTATGCACCCACCCGAACCACTCGTGCTCGTCACCCACTCTCCCCTAACCGCTCATAACCACCCCTAACTGTCCCTAACTGTCCCTAACTGTCCCTAACCGCCCCTAACTGTCCCTAACTGCCCCTAACTGTCCCTAACTGTCCCTAACCGCCCCTAACTTTTTTCCCTTTTTTTTTTTTTTTAATAACCACCCCTAACCGCCACTAATTGTCCTTAACCGCCCCAAACTGTCCCCAACTGTCCCCAACCGCCCCCAACCTGTATAGCATCTGCAAATGCAACAACCCTCGGTTCTGCTGGGGAAAAAAAAATTGCGCCTACCACAAGTTCTGCTGGCGGGAGAGGGGGCTTGACGAGGTGTGGGGGGAGAGTAAGAACGGGTGGGTATACCACGGTTACCCGATGGAGACCTCTACCGGCCCGTACCCACCCTTTTTTATTTTGGCCACCCGTACCTGCCCATAACCGTCTAGTTTTTTTTTCTGGCCGCCCATACACGTTGTTTTTTTTTTCCCCCTACCCCTACCTGCCCCTACCTACCAATGATCTCCAAAAAGGGCAACTGTGCCCTCCCTAACAACCACCACCTTTTGTTTGTGCCTGCCCATACCCAACTCCCCCTTCGGAGGGGGTACCCATACCCCCCCGTAACCTGGCAGTTACAGTTGGGTACGGATGGGTACGGGCAATGGTTACCCGTTTGCACCCTCTGAGGGGGGTATAGGGGGTATGGGGGGGTATAGGGGGTATGGGGGGGGGTAATGTAGGTGTTGGGGGCGGTTTGGAGGTGTTGGAGGGGTGTATGGGGGTATTGGGGGACACTATGGGGGTGTTGGTGGTGTTGGTGGGGTTATTAGGGATTCTGGACCCTTTTTTTTACTTTCTTTTTTCTTTTTTTTGCGGGGTGCCGACGACCCCTGACCGGTAGGTGCCAACCAGCCGACGGGTCGGCGGGTCGGCAGCCGACCAGTCAAGGGCCGCCGACCGTCGGGGTACGCAACACTATATATTGTCACATAACTATGAACTAAAAGAGCACACTTTGCGAAACGAAAGGCAAGGATAAAAACAAAAAACAAACAAACATGAGGGGCACTGAAACTGTTTATTTTTATCATTCTTCTTCTAACTCCCCTTTCACTATGCCTCTCACATACATTAAAGAGTAAGAGAATCACCGGTGAATTGAGAGGGAAAAACACTTGTCTTTTTTAAGCATACTGAAACCAATTGAGAAGGATCAGACCATTGGTCAAGTGCAATTGAATGACGATTCTGGACACAAATAGAAGGCAACATCAAGCACTGTACCTGTTTTATGTCCTCTTGGCCACCGATATCAGCCCACCTGACCGCCGGAACTTCGAGCATCACCTGCACAAGATGAACACGACTATGTCAACACGGCGCAGGCCCCTGAGCATCAGAAATGACATCACAGAGCTTAACATCCCTGGGGCAGTGAGCAGCAATATTCATAAGGGGGAAAGGGCTGCTTCAAACATGTGTGGCATCTCGCAGCAATCTCACTTGGAGCAGACAAGGCGTGCAGGCATCAAGGAGGTGTCCGTTGCAAGAGGGAGCATATCATCACACCCGACAACCCACCTCGTATTCGCTTGTTTGCTACCCCCATCATCATCATCATCATCATTGTCGCCGCCACCGTCGTCGTCGTCGTTGTCATCATCATCGTAATCGTCATCAACGGTTTGTTTGCATTAACAGCATCATTATCACGTTTGTCATGTTCCTGGTCATCATCACTCTTCATGTCAATCACCGACACTTTGAGTCACTGCTGTCATGGTGCCCATCATTGTCTCAACCAGAGAAGATGCTCCAGAGCAGCAGTCAGCATGTATGCATGTGTACCGTTCTTGATTGTAAGAAGATCCATTATTGACCAAAAAAGAAAGTCACGGTTCATCAACATAACAATACCATCCATCTGTCCATTTCTGACCTCTTAAACCTCCTCCGTTTCGTGAACGGCAAGTGAGCTTGAGAAGTGAAGATCAAACTCTGATGAAAATATATCTTAGTTTATGAGTATTCATTAGATGAACGAACTTTATTCGCAGTTGTTAGTTCTCAGAGTCCTGCAAGAGAAACAGCCAGCAGCGTTGAAGAGATTTCAGAACAAGTTGCCTGGTGCGCACAGGAGGGTTTACTCAGCGTAGTGCCTGCCATGCCTGGCATATTCAGGACCCCACTACACCAGGGGTATTGAGTAGTCCCCATGGAGCCCCATGGAGTCCCATGCAGCCCCATCATGTAGTATTATTTCGATGGTGTAAAGCATGAAAAGCGGTATGGCACTGGTATAGCATTGATATTGGAGGGATGCAACCGACCAGTAAACGAGAGCAAATCAAAAGCAGAGAACTGCAGACAACTTCTGACCTTGACCTGGACCTGGACTAACCAGAAATAGCGGGTTCCCCCTTTGAGGCTGGGACGCACCCCCCCTTACCTCTCGCATTGCGCTTGGCCGAACACGTGCTTTCGCCAGCTCGAAATCCTGAAGGTCAACTGTCTGTTCTGAAAGCAACAAAGATTGGAAAGACTTTGCCAAGTGCGCAATCTCATCCTCAACTCCATTTGCAATCTTGTCCTCTGCCTTATCTTGTCTGCAGATTCTTAGGCCTGATGCAATGTTATCCTCACAGGGTATGCCTGAGGAAGAGAGGGAAAGGTGAGCAGGCGCAGGCGAGAAAGAAGAAACATGAGAAGATGTCGATGAAGTGGATGATGTCAGTGACGATGAAAACGAGGGAGAGAAGCTAGACTGAGCAGTTGCGAGAGTTAGCGACACAGAATCCAAAGGACAAGATGGCTGAGCCAGCTGCTTCAGCTCCACTTCAAGTTCAGATCCTCCTCCACCATTGCCATTGCAAACTGCAGAAATCTCCCCAGTTGGTTGGACCCTGGACTGGGCTGCATTTCCTTCCTCCTTGCCCGTCTCTTGCTCAATCTCTGCGCGGAAATTGCCAGACATGCAACACTGGTCTTTTGCATCCTTCATCCTGTCTGCAGGAACTGACAGCTCTTCCCCATATGACCCTCTTCTCCCATTCTCCTCCCTTGTGCCAAGTATCGAACCGCTGACTGCCTGACCAGATCCGGAATCTCCTGGTGGTTTCCGCAACAAAGTATGCGCTGCTGGTAACGAATCACTCCTCGACTTTATGATTCGCCGCAGTGCTGAGATGGCTGCCTCATTGCAGAGCACCGCCAGGTCAGCACCTACAAAGCCATGGGTTGCCGAGGCCAGGTATCTGCAATCCGCATCTGTCAAAGTATGTGGCATCCTGCATAAAAGGGCTTGCAGAATTTCCAAGCGGCTAGCTGGTGATGGGACACCTGCGGAGCGAAAACACCCATCCATCATCAGTACCATCCGTTCTGGTCCCCCTGTTACACATGTACTGATGAACATCAGCAGCGTATTGATGAACATCACCAGGATTACCACCATGTTTTAGGAAAGAGTTTCCAGGGGCTGCTGAGAGTGAACGTCTGTGTTTTGCCAAGAAGTGCCAGGAAGTGCAAAACCCTCTATTCACCTAGAAACGCTGGAAAAGCCTGGAAAGGAAAAAAGTTGGGAAACAACGCAAAAAGCTCACAGCAGCAAGAGACTATTGTTGGAAAGAAATGTATAGTACTGCATACCTATTTCAAGCTCCCGATCAAACCTCCCAGGTCGTCGGAGCGCCGGATCGATCGATTCCGGGCGATTGGTTGCAGCGATAACCACAACACGATTGCCATCCCTGCCTGCTCCGCCTCCATCAAGTTGAGTAAGCAGGGCTGCTACCATCCTCTGAGTGAACTCCTCCGAACCCTTCTGACGTGCCGGTGCAATTGCGTCGATTTCATCAATGAAAATCACTGATGGTGCACATCTCTCAGCATCTGCAAAAATGGCCTGCAGTGCAGACTCACTTTCTCCATAGTATTCACTCACAATCTCAGGCCCATTGATTACGTACATGGATGCATCAAACTCATTGGCTATGGCTTTTGCAAGCAGTGTCTTCCCTGTCCCAGGTGGGCCATACAGGAGAACTCCCCGCGGGGGACGGATGCCATACCTGCTCAAGGACACAGCCAAGATCACAAAGAAGTATGACTCTCAGAGGGATGTAACTGAATCTGCCAAGCACCAGGCGAGGCAGCGCACACTGAACTGCCCTATACCCAGATGGGAAAATAGCTGAGTTGGTTAAAGTGCTGGTCTGTTGCATCAGAAGTCGCAGGTTCAAATCCCGTTTTCTTTCCCGGGAGGTAGAGAGTCAGGAGCTGAAAGTGGGGGTCCCCCTTAACCACTTGTGGGGAGGTATGGCTGAGTGGCTGATGGCATTGGTTTGCTAAATCAACATACAACAAGATGGTATGGTGGGTTTAAATCCCGTTTCCTAGTGCAATGAATTTCCCTACGACTATTGCACTATTTTTCCATCGGCATAATTCTGCAATAACCCATGCCATATGTCTCGTGGAAGCTGAGGGTCGTCTGAGGGCCTACTTGGCCGCCCTCAGCCCAGGCCGAAACAGGGGAAAAAGACCCCACACGAATTCAGGGCCTGGGCGTGTGACAGTTGACTTTAGTCAACTGTCGGTCCACTCAACAGTCGAAGTCCAAAGGTACCTAGCCCAGGCCGCTGCTCAAGCACACACACTTGTTTGTATGCAGGTACCCAGACAGCATCAGGTCCAAGGGAGAAGTCTGCAACTGTACGATTCGGGCCTTCTGATGTGAGCCAATCCGGACGACTGTGGGGGAAAGAACCGAGGCCAGACAGCCTCGACAACTGCTACTTAAGGCTGGCCTCGAGTGAGTCAAGCATTCAGTCTTGCTATGCTGCTTTGACGCTGGCTCGACTTTGACTAGGCGCTGGCTTCATGCTGGCACGACGCTGGCTACACGCTGGCTGTGCTCAGGCGTTGCGGCCGAGGGCACGAGGAAGAGGCAGCATGCTGGCGCTTCCTGCATTATGCGCCAGGCTTGCTGAGGTGGCATGCTGATGTGGCGCTACCTCTGGTCTACATTGCATGCTGATGTGGCGTTACCTCTGGTCTACATTGCATGCTGATGTGGCGCTACCTCTGGTCTACATTGCATGCTGATGTGGCGCTACCTCTGGTCTACATTGCATGCTGACNGTCTACATTGCATGCTGACATGGCGCTACCTCTGGTCTACATTGCATGCTGATGTGGCGCTACCTCTGGTCTACATTGCATGCTGACGTGGCGCTGCCACTTGTCTTCGTTGATGATGTGGCATATGCCACCTATCTCGACTGCTGACGTGGTACTGTCCACGCTGTCTACATGAGGTGACTGGTTGCGTGGAGGAGGAAGGTCGGGATCTGTGGATGAAGGAGGTCGGGTACTCACCTGAGTTTGACGTCGTCATTGGAATCTGCTATGTCTTCACAGACTTCACGAGATTAAGTGCCAGGTGGCACTACTGTGTGTGATCAGGAATATACTTATTATCATTGATGATGTGGAGAGGGGAGAAGCCCGGAGAAGGAGAGGGATCTGAAGGGTTTATTACTGTGTGATTTCTCTTCCTCTCCTTTGTCTATTCCCCCTCCATTCTCTTCTTTCAATGGTAATGAGATACTGTTTGAGAGTTCACTTCACGATTTGGAGACTTTAATGCAGATAATGAGACTACTGATGTTTGACGACTTCTGAGTATCTGCCAGACTGGGTTCATTACAATTTGGTATCAGAGCTACTCTTTCATCCCAATCTGCTGTCTGCTGTCAGGTGCTGACGTGGCACCCAGGTAAGTGGGAAGTGCCGCATGTGCAAAGCGAAACGCGTTTATTAACGCGCGCGGTATATACCGCAAGTCTAATCATGGTAGTATTGCACGTGCGGGCAGCTGTCCCTTGAAGATGATAACAAGGCTACACTGAAGATTTCAAGATACCGGCAGGAGCTTCGTTGGCAATGTGCTGACGTGGCGCTGGTGCAAAGAGAGATTGGTACCGCTGATGTGGCACATTGTTTATGTGGCATGCAGGGCACGATCTGACGTGCCACGTACCTGTGTCACTATTGCTTGCTGTTGATGTGCTGACGTGGTATGCTGGTGTTGAGTGTATGGTAGACCTGCATTGCTGACGTGGCATCCCTCATAGTAGATCTCTTGTTGCTGACGTGGCAGAAGTGCTGCGTTGGCATGCCAGGGGTGACACGTGGCATGCAAAGACTGTGCACTTGTTGTTTAGGGTCGCATTGTTCTGCAGATGATGAAGTAGAAGCTAACCATTGATTGTAATTGTTGTGCTGGCTTTCTACTTACCTGTTGTCTGTTATGTGGATGCTGTGTGTACTCACAAGTGTGCTGTTGTTTTGATCACACTGGCTGTGGCTGCGGTACCTGTAGCTATAGGACATCATCACATAGGAAACAGACAGCAAAGTTAGACTCAGAAATTGATTGAGAACCTGCTTCTTTGTACTTGCCTGGTTTGTTTCTTGCTGTAGGAGTTGCGTGTGTCGCGGAATTTATTATCGTCTTCTGGTTTTATCTATTGTACGGCATCTACACGTGTGGGAAAATGAATTCTCTTTGGAAATGTCTGCGTGCCTCTATCCTATCCCTCTCATAGTCTATGCCAATGAGGAAGGGGGGGGACTAAAGACCTGAGGCCAAATTGAAACAAGGAAACAGACTTTGCTCGGGTTGCTCCGTCAGTTTCTCGGTGAGGTACATGGCACCGGTTCAGAGATTGAACAGCAGATCCATGGTCAGTTCAATCCACAAGCTGCAGAAGATGAACTGAAAGCCGCGGAAACCGTCGTTCAATTCATAGAGACCGGTAAGAAAGTCGAGGACCTCATAAAGCAAGGACGAATAGTCCTTGACCGGTATGAAGAAGAAGAAAGAATACTGGATGAATTAAGGCAAAATTTTCATTATGAGAAAGCAGGCA